GGAGTTCATTTTGCAAGCCATGACCCAAAGTAGATCCCTATCTGATGAGTGTGGCTGGCTGTTTGTGAATGTATAGTTTGAGTTGGATGACCTCAGGTTGGCAGAGGGCAACTCCTGAGTAGGACTTTTAAAGGATCACTGTTTTTTTGAAGGTTGAAAGCCAGGGTCACAGCTGCGTTTTGGCTGTTCTGAGCTGATAAGTGTTGCATCTTTACAGGATCCTAGGTCTTGCAGGTAGAGCCCTACAGCAGTGTGAATGGACCCTGCACCGTGTACATTTGATACCAGCTGATCACAATTGTCCCAGTCACTATGGAAGATTGCTCCTTTAGTTTGTCCCTTCACAACATCAGTGTTGCTAATTAATGAAGCAGTTTCCACAATTGAATTTGCGAGAGCTGTTTCAAGTTCAGTTGAGTATGTGTATGATTCTCAGTGGCCAAGCTTATTTATTAAAGTTGTTAAGCCCTTCATTTTCTATTGTCCTGATGTTACAGCTCTGAAGATGTCTTGGGAAATTGAAATTGCCAGACGTTTTCCCCTATTTGATGGGTCCCCTTCATCGCAGATTAGTTTGGTAAGAAATTGGCAGATTGGGAGCTCGGAGGGGCCATGGCAGTGGTTCAGTATTTTTAAATGCTTTTAAAATGTGTTGCTGCAGATCATAACTTATCTCCTTAGTCCAGTCAGTCATCCCCATGTCATTTTTAGATTTTCTTGTAATTTACTAAACACTATTGTTTCTCGATAGGGGCAAGCCGAGAAGTCAATACTGTCTTTGAGATCAGTACAGTGTTCAATCTTATGTCTTAAGTTATGGCTTGTTATCGTGGCAGCAGCTGCTTCTCCGAATTTCTTCAAGGTGTCACTGTATAAAAGTGTTAGATGACCTAGTGTGATAACATAGCCCTTTTCGATAACTTATTTTTTTAACGTGGCCGTACACTTCATCGAAGGCTTTTCCGATCATCTCCTTCGTTGAGGATAACTCGCGTAGCAGCAGTTTTATCAGACTGAGTTGGCGTCTTTACGAGGTACTGCTTCCTACAGCAGTCGTGAAACTGTGCCGCTTTTGCAAAATCAACTTGCCTTATTTTGCACATAAAATTTTCATCTCGTAGTTCAATAGCTTTTCTTTCAATTTTTTTCTATGCACTTGATTTACATTTTTGCAAACTATATCTCTTTCCAGATGTTTTCTTAACTGTTGAACTTTTGCAGAAAATGCAATATTTTCCAAACGAAACTGAAGTATCCAGATGTTGACGCCTTAGTCTGATGTTATTTTGTAATTTACTCTTTCTCACTAATGCACGGCTGGCCTTGCGGAAACAAAAGCGTCAACAGTTTAGATGATATCCACACTCAGGAGTCAATTCTTCTGGAATCGTTTGACAAACATCCACAGTCAGATGTATGTCAAGAGTTTTCTTTTCATTGCATGGATTTTCTTAAATGTGCCTTGTGTGTCAGCCATGGAAGAAAAATGTATAAATTTATCCATTGCTGTGGCCATGCATCCATGCAAAATACAATTTTCATGGGTTTGAAGAACACTGTGATGGCGTCCAGTCTTCATTGTGTTTTTGACGTATTTAAATTGTTCACTGTAGGAACAAAAACGCATGGAAAATCAGTGTCTTCATTACAACTATAACATTGTATTATTTAGAGTACAAACTCTCATCAATTCAAATCTCTTGTATATTGCCTTCTCTCTAACCACCTTAAATCTTTAAAAAACGGATTATCTGTAACAATAACCAATAAGTCTTTGATCTAAGCTACATGATAACTTCTCAATTAAAAAGAAAACATGAAAACAATTAGGAGTGCAGACGATTTAGTTTACCTTTTTTTTTTTTAGAAAAAGTTCCAACTGGTTAACAGTAACTCGAAGAAGTTAAGCAGCTTTTATTTCATTTGGACAATCTGAAAAATATTGGTAAATGTTAGGGGAAAAGGCCAGACTTTTCCCAAATCACCTAATAATCATTGCAGAAGCTTAAAGGGATACTTCACCCGTTGAAACATGAATCTGTATTGACATTGGGTCATATATGTAGAAATGTGAAATACATTTTGAAGTTGGTGCCTTCTTGGCTGTGAAAAGGCAGGAAGTGTCTTTTTGGCTCATGTGGATGAAAGACACCAAATCCCAGAATGCACAGCACCGCAGGCCACTCCCACTAAGGTCCTCTATTTCAGAATCAGAAATACTTTATTAATCCCAGAGGGAAATTCGATCGTTACAGTTTCTCCAAAATATAGCAGTAGAAATAAAAACATTTACAGACATGTTTACTACAACACATAAGACCATTTCCTCAACTGATTCAGAGATTTCTTCCAGAAAAAATTAGTATCTTGGAAATTCCTGGCAGAAAACAGACTCTATGTCTGTGTCCATAGGCAAACAGTGAGACACTACCGGTCCGCCCCAGCTCGAGCCGGCCCCGGCTCCTCGTCCTCACCACCGCCAACAGGCAGGCCTTATGTCTCAGCTGCTGAGCTGGCAGCGGCCGGCGGCTGCAATACAGAGAGGTTGCTGCCGACAGGCCGGTCTTGTGTCGCAGCGTCCAGCGGCCACTGCAACCAAGACACAAGACCGGCCTGTCGGCCGCTATATTTATATTTTTTCGCCATTATCAGCTTTCTCCATAGAGCCTGTTAGCATAGCTTCCAAGCAATATGGCGGACATTAAGAATCGATTCTGGGAGTGAGTTCCCACCCACTGATCTGTGATTGGTCTGTAGCTTCAGTGGTCGAAAATTTGAGGAACTAGCGTTGTAGTTTCACCCCGCTAACTGCAAAAGCTTCCAATGACGCAAAATGACGATTTCTGCGTCACTGGAAGATCCTTTACAGACTTAGAAATACAAAGATTTCCCATCTCAGGGGAAAATGAGGGCGAGATGCACGACCATTCAAAAATACTTAGGTCACTTAGGTTTCTAATGATACAAAGATTAATGCAAATGGGTGAATTGTGCGTCACACACTCTCACACACACGCGCACACACACACACAAACTTAGTCAACTAGCTAGCTTGATAGCAACTTAATTGAGATTGCTACTAAAAACATGTTCTTTTATTTTACAATATTCATCAGACTGCTGCGCTTTTTTGTTAAGAATAGTTTACATGATATCCCTAATCTTTACAGGATTACAAACTAGCTAGTCAAAGCTAGTGTCAGATCATGTTCAACTTCACTTCCTCCCTTGGGACTAACATTAATCTTTTGCCAAATCTGTGGCAGTAAAGCTTAACTGAAGCTTTCATAATCATTGTTTCAACATTTACAGACCTAGTTAATCATCTTAGACCAAAAGATCTTTCCATATGTGGTGTCCTTGTGGTATATTAGTTTCTTAGGAAACATCCTGGTTGCAGTTGAAACAGTTACAACAAAACTGCTCTTATAGTTTTAACTGCAATGATCCAGGGGTCTGAAAGGCTATTCTCTCTGTTGAGGTATAATGGAGCATTTTGGTTACAGCAAGAGTCGTTTTGAGTACAGGAAGGTCATCTTGGGCTCAAATTGAAGATTCTGAACTAGAGTAATTTTCTAAATACGTGAGGCAGTGATTTTCAACAAAATGTGCAAAAAAAGTAGGCATTTCTGATGAGAATTTGTCTGTCGGACTGTCTTTTTTTAAGATGTAACACGCAATATTTCAAAACACAATGGCAACAAGACCCTACAGCTTATTTTGTTACTTAGCCACATGCTTCAGGATACTCCCTGTCAGATGTTGTACCACTATGACCATTTATGCAATTGTAGTAACTTTGTATGTGCATTGACATCATGTAGCCAAACGCATTTTTCAAAAAGGGGGTTTTTGGCCCCCCAGGACCAAACGGCCCCCGAGTTGGAAGTGGTCATTATGCACTTGTGATAGACCAAGGTATGGGCTAACTAAAAATCATAGTGAAAAAAAGGTAGCAAAAAACATCCTGAGGGAGGGACCTGGCTCCCGCATAACACTGGACTGAAAGTAGATACTTTCTACTACTTTAAAGTAGACTAAAATAAAAGCCCGGAAAAGACTAGATAGATAGTAGTGATTTGTCGTTCGTGAACGATTCGTTCAAAAAGACAAAACCTTATGGGTGAACGAACTGGACTGAATCACTTACTGTAAAGAGTCGTTCATTTCTCAACTTCAGTTGCGCTCTCCCGTCTCGTGTCTCGATTGCTCTTTTTGATTATAAGAGTCATATGTTATAGAGTGACAAGTGGTGTCTGGCAGCGCAACTCAAGCTAGCTGGTCTGTGCGTTTAGTTCTGCTCGCGACCTCGCGACAACTCCAGCTCTATCACAGCCTCATATTAATATCAGTCAGATTAAGTAGACTCTTACAGTTACCAGCATGGTGAATAAACAGGCACACATAGATATGAGAAAAATACATATTTTTATAATTAGAGCTCAATTGATTAAATACAAGTTGTAATTGACTTTTACATCAGAATGGTTAAAGAGTAAATTGGTGACTGTTGTTTTTCTAATCAAACGTAACGTTCGTGGGCCAGTGATATTTGAAAACTAGTGGCCCGGAGGGCAAATTTAACTTAATGTCAACACCTGCTTCATATTATATATTACAAATATTTCACTGTATGGACCTCAACTCAGTTTACAGCCCTTATTAATATTTAAAAAAGCAGTCCAAGTACCGTAAATGTTTGTTTACTGTGTCCTGCAGATGTCCAGCAGCTGTTGGTGATTAAAGAAGAGCTTCCACCTGAGCAGCAGGAGTGGAGCCACATTCTGGACCAGGAGGACACTAAGCCCCCACACATTAAAGAAGAACCTGAGGAACTGTGGATTAGTCAGGAGGAAGAACAGCTTCAAGGACTGGAGGAGGCTGATACCACCAAGTTCCCCTTCACTCCTGTCTCTGTGAAGAGTGAAGATGATGAAGAGAAACCTCAGTCCTCACAGCTTCATCAGAGACAAACTGAACAGATGGAAACAAGAGTTGATGGAGAGGACTGTGGAGGAGCAGAACCAGAGAGAGACTCAGATCCAGAGAGACGTTTACAACCAGAGACTGAGGTCGAGATTGAAGACTCTGATGAATCTGAGACTGATGACAGTGATGATTGGCAAGAGACAAGAGAAGATCTGTCAGAATTAAACTTGAAAAATCAGAAACTAAAGACTGTTAAGAGACCACATAGTTGCTTGGAGTGCGGTAAAAGATTTAACCAAGAAGAGAATTTGACCAGTCACATGATGATTCACACTGGAGAAAAACCCTTCAGCTGCTCTCAATGTGAGAAAAGATTTACCGCTAAGTCTAGTTTGACATATCACATGGCAAATCACAGAGGAGAGAAACCCTTCAGCTGCCTTCATTGCGGTAAAAGATTTTCCCAAAATGGAAATCTGACCAGACACATGTTAGTTCATACAGCAGAGAAACCCTTCAGTTGCTCTGTTTGCAGTAAAAGTTTTATCCGTAGAGGAAGTCTGGCCACACACATGTTAGTTCATAAAGGAGATAAACCCTTCAGCTGCTCTGAGTGTGGTAAACTGTTTACCGAAAGACGAAGTCTGACCACACACATGTTAGTGCACACTGGAGAGAAACCCTTCAGCTGCTCTCAGTGTGAGAAACGATTTACCCATAAGTGTAATTTGACATATCACATGGCCAATCACAGAGGGGAGAACCCCTTTAGCTGCCTTGTGTGCAGTAAAAGATTTAGCAATAGAGCACATCTGAACACACACATGTTAGTTCACACACGAGAGAAACCCTTCAGCTGCTCTGCTTGCAGTAAAAGTTTTACCCATAGAGGAAGTCTGACCACACACATGTTAGTTCACACAGGAGAGAAATCCTTCACCTGCCTTCAGTGTGAGAAAAGGTTTACCAGTAAGTCTGGTTTGACATATCACATGGCAAATCACACAGGAGAGAAACCCTTCAGCTGTCTTGAGTGTGATGAAATGTTTTACCTGCAGGGAAGTCTGACTAGACACATGTTGGGTCATACAGGAGAGAAACCCTTCAGCTGCTCTGAGTGTGGTAGAAGGTTTAGTTCTGAGGGAAATCTGACCAGTCACATGATGATTCACACTAGAGATGAATGCTAATCTTTTGCAATGGTAAAGGTAATCCAAATGAATCCAAGTTAACATCATCACTGTGTATTCATAAGTATGTATTGATTAACAGATATATAAGTAAGTTGGGAGCAGCTATGACGTTTGAATGTTAAGTGTTTATATGAAACAGTTACAGATCCTTCTCTCCTGATATCTTCTCTTCTTTCTGTCACTCTGTTTCCTTGGAGGCCTCTGTGTTGGGTAGCACAAGTTCTTCAGACAGCTCATGTGTAACCTTGTAAGAAATAAACTGATGTAGAGTGAGAAAGACTTTCATCTACTTGTGTTATTTTGTGTTGAGTGTCTAAAGTCTCTTTGGTAAAGAAAAGGAGTTCAGCAGATCCTGATGCAGAGTGACCACAGTCAGATCAGGTCCAGGTTGATTTCACTGAAAACCTTTAACCCTTAATAAGAATCCTGCAGTCAGAATACAAAATCTCAATGACACCTGAACATGCACAGGATTAATTAAGAGTGCAGAGGCCACTGGGCACAAAACTGCTGCAGCCTTTGATCACAAACTGAATGACAAAACCTGTAGATGTCATCTGACATCAGAATCAGCTTTCTTGGCCAGGTATGATAAAGACAAAGATGAAGATAAACTTTATTGATCCCACGTGGGGGAAATTTGTGCATTACAGCATCTCAAGAAAACAGGAGAATATAATTATTAAAAATAACAAGAAGTTAAAAATCAAATCAAACATATTTACATCAGTTAAATAAAAAATACAATAATGGAAAATTACACAGTAACTACACTGGAAATAGTTATTGTTATTAAAAAACACAGTGTGTAGCATTACTGAAATGAGTCATGAGGTGGTGATGTTGTTAAAGAGTCTGATTGAACAGTCTGACTGCAGATGGGATGAACGACCTGCGGTAGTGCTCTGTCTTGCAGGGTGGGTGTCTGAGTCTGCTGCTGAAGGAGCTGCTCAGGGCCCCCACAGTGTCTACAGGGGGTGAGAGGGGTTGTCCATGATGGATGTCAGCTTAACTAACATCCTCCTCTCACCCACCTCCTCTACAGAGTCCAGAGGACAGTCCAAGACAGAACTGGCCCTCCTGACCAGTCTGTTCAGTCTCTTCCTGTCTCTCTCTGTGCTCCCTCCTCCCCAGCAGACCACTGCATAGAAAAGTGCAGACGCCACCACAGTGTCATAAAAAGTCTGTAGCAGAGTCCTGCATACTCCAAAGAACCTCAGTCGCCTCAGCAGGTGAAGTCGAAATTGGTCCTTCTTGTACAGAACGTCGGTGTTGTGTGACCAGTCCAGTTTATTGTTGAGGTGAATACCCAGGTATGTGTACGTCTCCACCCTCTCGATGTCCAAGCCCTGGATGTTCCCCAGTGCACTCATTTATCTGCTCCTTCACAGTAAAGAAGAAGAGAGTCGCTCGGACTTCCTGCAGAAGTCAATCACCATCTCCTTTGTCTTGCTGGCGTTGAGCTGAAGGTAGTTGAGCTCACTCCAGTCGACAAAGTCCATGATGACCTCCCTGTACTCCTGTTCGCTCCCCTTAGACACAAACCCCACGATGGCTGTGTCATCGGAGAACTTCTGCAGGTGGCAGCTCCCAGAGTTGTAGCAGAAGTCCGAGGTGTACAGGGTGAAGAGAAAAGGGGAGAGAACTGTCCCCTGCGGGGCCCCTGTACTGCAGACCACCACGTCAGACTCACAGTCCTGAAGCCTCACGTACTGTGGTCTGTTGGTGAGATAGTCCGTTGTCCATGCAGCCAGGTGACAGTCCAGTCCCGCCCTCTCTAGCTTCCCCCTGAGCAGTGCAGGCTGGATGGTGTTAAAGGCACTGGAGAAGTCAAAGAACATGACCCTCACAGTGCTGCCGGTGTTCTCCAGGTGAGTCCAGGATCTCTGCAGCAGGTAGGGACGGCGTCATCCGCCCCGATGTTCGGCTGGTAGGCGAACTGCAGAGGATCCAGATTTGAAGTCACCAGGGGGTGGAGGTTGTTGAGGACGATCCTCTCCATGGTCTTCATCAGGTGAGAGGTGAGGGCCACAGGTCTGAAGTGGTTAGGCTCCCTGGGGTGAGATGTCTTTGGGACTGGCACCACGCAGGAAGTCTTCCACAGAGTCGGTACCCTCTCCTGTCTCAGGTTGAAGATGTGCAGAAGAACCTCACAGAGCTGGTCTGCACAGTCCTTCAGGAGTCTGGAGCTGATGCCGTCGGGACCTGTGGCCTTCCTCACCTTGATCTTCCTCAGCTGACTTCTCACCTGATCAGATGTTATGGAGAGGCCGTCGGAGGAGGAGGAAGAAGAGGAGGAGGAGGGGGTTGTTGAGGGGGCATCTGTGGAGGAGGAGGAGAAGGAGAGGGCTGTTGAGGGGGGTAGCAGGGTACTCAGGGTACTCAGATGGAGTGTTGAGGGGGGTAGCAGGGTACTCAGGGTACTCAGATGGATGTCTGAGAAGCAGGCTGGTCTGCACTCTGGTGGGTGGGGGTGGGGGTGGGGGTGGGGTTGGGAGCAGAATCAAATCTATTGAAGAACAGATTCAGTTCATTTGCCCACTCCTTGTCTCCTGCTTCAGGGCCCCTCCCACACCTTCTGCTGTGACCTGAGATGTTATTCAGGCCCCTCCAGACTTCTCTTGCATTTTTATGTTGTAAATGCTCCTCCATCTTTTCCCGGTAGCTGGCTTTCCCCTCCTTGATTTTTATCTTGAGCTCCTTCTGCACCCTCCTCAGCTCTGTAAACAGTCACAGCGATGACGTGTGAAAACTCCCTCGGCAGGTAATATGGCCGAATGCTTACAGCCAGCAGCTCCACATCCTTAGTGCAGCGTTGTTCTTTAACGGTGATGTGCCCAGAGTTACACCACCTCTCATTCACATACATCGCTATTCTCCCGCCTTTCTTCATACCGCTCTCCCTCACGCTCCGGTCCGCTCTGATGAGGTGGAAGCCATCCAGAGTTACGAGCGTGTCTGGAGTGAGTTCATTCAGCCATGTCTCCGTGAACTGCATGATGCTACACTCCCTGTACTCCCTCTGAAGCCAGGTGAGTGCCGTCAGCTCCTCCATCTTATTAGGGAGAGATCTTACATTCCCCATAATTGAAGACGGATGGTTTGTACCGTCTTTTCTTTTCCCGACACTTCACTCCGGCTCTGCATCCCCTTCTCTTCCTCCGTAGTTCTGCGGGGATGTCCGGTCTTTCGGCTGGTAAAGATAAAGAGATACAGATAAAGAGATAAAGATAAAGATATACTTTATTGATCCCCCGTGGGGGAAATTTGCTCATTACAGCAGCTCCAGAAAACAGGGGACAGGAATATACTTATAAAAAATAAAAATAAAAGTTAAAAACAGATCAAACATATTTACATCATTTAAATAAAAAAATACAATAATGTAAAAAAAGATTTAAAAAAAAAACGAGTAACCGGTTGTAACCGAAGCTGGCACAGCGCAGTCAGCTGTTCACGGGTGTAAACAATGGAGCCGTGACTGAATGGGTCTCCCGAGGAAGTTTTAAAGAGTCCACAGAGAAAGAAAAACATAACTAATACTCCAAAAAGAAGAATATCCATGTTTGTTGTTTGGAGTTGGAGTTACTCGCGAAGTTACAGCAACAAACAGTCAATATTAACAAAATAAACTAGAAAACAATAACGAGGGGGGTCGGAGCTGCCGTAACAAGCTGCCACCCAGAGCGGAGCTGGATACGGGATGCTTACACACACAAGGAATTGAACTTCGGTGAACTGTGCTCTCTTATGTACAAGTATCACAATACGCAAAGAAGAGTAATATGTACAAGACTAAATAAGAAACAGTGTCACCCTGATGGATGAGGCTTCAGTCAACCAGGCCGATCTGGCGGAAATCCTTGCTTCACCTGACCTGAGACTCCCTGCTACAGCAGCTGTCAGCACCAGTGCATCTTCGCGGGAGGCGAGTGCTGATAGGAGTACTTGGTCGGCCGCAGCCGGAATGAAGCGCCGCTTAATGTTGCGGGAGGCTGTTGCCAGACGCTCAGGGGGTCTCCCTCGGGCAGGGTCTCCAATCGCGGACCCTCCACCAACAATCGCCGTCCCCCGCGCAGATGCAGCGACCAGTAGGCCTATCCGATCCGATAAGCTCCCGCGTATCATCTCCTCCACCTCTCATTCCCCCCACAACCTTAGTTATTGGAGATTCCATAATCAGAGATATCCGCTACTTTAACGCCATTACTCACTGTTTCCCTGTGCCGCTGTCCAAATTATTTTAGATAAACTGCTGCACTTACTTCCCTCTCTCATATCAGGGACGTTACAAAAAAGGTATTTTATCACCTTGAGAGCACAGGAGTTATTCAGGGTTAAGGGTCTTGCCCAAGTACATGTTGGGCAGCTGGGGATTGAACCCACAACTTTCTGGTTGTAAGATGACCGGCTCTACCAACTGAACCACAGTTAGCCCAGATGGGTTAGGTGCAGAGTTTTTCAAGTCCAACTGTGATCAGATTGCTCCCTTGCTGCTAAAAATGATTACTCACTCTATTAAGAACAAAATATTTTCACAATCCTCTTATAAGGCTAATATTTGTTTGATACTGAAAAAAGGGAGGGATGACTCACATCCAATGGCGTATAGACCTCTCAGTCTCTTAAATTAGGGCCAGAAAGTGGTAGCTAAAATACTGGCCACTAGACTTGGTAGACATATTCCTTCGTTATTATGTCCTCACCAAAATGGCTTCTTATCTGGCAGATATTCTTTTTTTAACACTCCTCGATTATTTAATATAATGTACGCTAAATGCCAAGTAAACAGTACGCCTACAATTATTTCTCTGGATGCCGAACGTGCATTTCATCTTATTGAATGGAGGTATATGCATGCCACTCTGTATGAATGTACCAGATTAGCCAGCTTGCGGTCTTCCTCTGACAGGCAGGAGCAGCTCTCGGCATACAGGACACGCAGGTGACTGGGAACAGAAACAGAGACAGGGTGAACATGCTCAAACACTGCAGATGTGCTTGTGGACAGGGGTTCCACACCCTCCAACACCTGTGCAGACTGAAGGACTCCTGTGACAGCTCCTCTCTTTAAAGTGACAGGTGCAGCACCAGGGTTGAAGACTCTGATGGGGATGCTGGTGGAGCCC